TGGTAGCAGGGGGAGGGGGGGCAAGTTTTCTTCTGCCGCGCTTCACTTTAAGGCCCATATCTTCAAAACTATAGGTATTAGGGCAAGTGTGGTGTCATTTTCGGATAATTAAAGGATGGCGAATTCATTTCTAGAATAAACTTTTTGCCTTTTCATACAAAAAAATAGAAATATTGAGGAAAATTCACAAAAACCAAAAAGTATTTTTTTAAATAAACGTCGTTAACTTTTAAACCATTGGATTTAATCTAATAAAAAAAATATGTACTGAAAGCTACATTTACCAGAATTATAAATATACACCATTGTATGGTACTTTTTTCGAAAAAAGTAGGTGAAAAAAATTTTTTCTTCAGAACACAGCGGGCGAATTTTACTGCGCGTCGGAAAAAAAAATTATTTTATCCATGAATTCATACTATTTGGTTCATAAGCAAGTAAGGATTATTATTTTAGAATTTATTTCGAGTTTCTGGCACATCAAGCTAACATGATTTGTAATTTTTCTTCAATTAATTTTGAACTCTATGTGTAAGACATAAGGTTGAAAATAGCTTAAATACATTTTAATATTGGAAATATCATAAGAAGAAAGCACTAAATAAAGAACTTGAATGTGTCTAACTAAATGTCTGATGATTATTATTTTAATTAACACTTATTTCTACATACTATTGTACCAGTGATTTAACGGAAAGGTAAGTGTGAGGAAAGTGAGGATTAATAATCATAGTACGGGAGATTATTTTTAGCACAAAGGCTACGGCTGTGACCATTATAGTTGTTTGTTCAGACAGCATCAGCTTCTGCACTTACATCTCACCATTTCCAGGCAAGCTTCGGCAGCTACGGGCAAATCAGTCCATGTAAGCTCCATGTTGCTATCGACTCTGGTCCACCCCCAACCAGTCGGGTAAAGGGAAGACTGAGTCGGTTGCTTGCAACTGACCCTATACGCGAAACCCCTTGATATACTGCCAGTAGCCAATGCTGATACAAAGCTGTCTGGGTTAGGTATCTTATATGTATAGGGCCACACCTAAGCGTAGTCCACAGCGACCCATTAGGATCTGTATTCTCCCTTTTTTATTCCCTATCATCCAAAAAAATCCTATCCATTAGTTAGGTGAATTAAAGCCGTCTGAGTGAAAGCCAGCTAAAGTCTTCTGATGCCGGATATGCTAACCCAAGCAGATCCATCCTTACAGTATTAAGTGTTTCATGGACCCCACATTTTTTCCAAATGCTCGAGAGCTTCTGTTGTTAGGACCATTTTGTGGGACATGTGGTTCATTCCCCAGTTTGCGTACCTGTAATTGCTTGGGCTTACCTTTGATGAGTTTTCTCCATGACCCTGTATTTCCCTTTAGGAATGATTTGGAGAGGCTCATATCGTTGGAGCTTTCCCATTCAGCCATGTGCTTCTTGGATATGGCCATATTATGGCCATGAGGTATGCTTTTAGATAAAGATACTATCAGTTCTGACCTAATAGGAATCGTCTCTGACCCTTGTCTCGCTAGACTGTCGGCTCTCTCATTGCATTCGATCCTTGTATGTCCAGGTATCCCACATCAGGTACACTTTGTCATGCCTTCCGAGTTTGTTCATCTTTAAGATTGCATCTAGAATAATTCTAGACTCAACCTTCACTGAGGCGATGGCTTTGTTTGAGTGCTGCCTGGCTGTGGCTCAGGATGTAAATATTGCGTTTTTTACACCCCTGTTTTTTAGTGCACACATAATTATAGAGTAGAATTCAGCTTGAAATACTGTAGCAAACCTCCTTAAACGTTCACTGTGTTCGTTTTTACAGTAGACGCCCGCTCCCGTTCCCAAGGCCATCTTGGCTTAGAGCTGTCAGTAAACCAGATTAGGCTGTCCTGTTGGGATTTTGGTCCTCTTTTCTAGTCGTCCCTTGTTCAAGATCTATCCACTTATTAGCTCAATCCACTGTTTTTTTCTCACTTATCATATTAATCCACTGGTATTGTTTTAGATCAAGTAGGTACCTTCTACTATTACTACATGCTTGACTATGAACGAGTGCTGTAAGTGCCCACAAACCTAGGCAGTTTTGTATCAGAATCGGCTACGGGCAGTATATCAAGGGCAGTAATCATGTCCTTATGATTTTTTCAAGTTATTTAAAATTTAGTAGGTATATCAAGGGGTTTCGCGTATAGGGTCAGTTGCAAGCAACCGACTCAGTCTTCCCTTTACCCGACTGGTTGGGGGTGGACCAGAGTCGATAGCACCATGGAGCTTACATGGACTGATTTGCCCGTAGCTGCCGAAGCTTGCCTGGAAATGGTGAGATGTAAGTGCAGAAGCTGGTGCTGTCTAAACAAACAACTATAATGGTCACAGCCGTAGCCTTTGTGCTAAAAATAATCTCCCGTACTATGATTATTAATCCTCACTTTCCTCACACTTACCTTTCCGTTAAATCACTGGTACAATAGTATGTAGAAATAAGTGTTAATTAAAATAATAATCATTAGACATTTAGTTAGACACATTCAAGTTCTTTATTTAGTGCTTTCTTCTTATGATATTTTCAATATTAAAATGTATTTAAGCTATTTTCAACCTTATGTCTTACACATAGAGTTCAAAATTAATTGAAGAAAAATTACAAATCATGTTAGCTTGATGTGCCAGGAACTCTAAATAAATTCTAAAATAATAATCCTTACTTGCTTATGAACCAAATAGTATGAATTCATGGATAAAATATTTTTTTTTTCCGACGCGCAGTAAAATTCGCCCGCTGTTTTCTGAAGAAAAAATTTTTTTTCACCTACTTTTTTCGAAAAAAGTACCATATAATGGTATATATTTATAATCCTGGTAAATGTAGCTTTCAGTACATTTTTTTTTTTATTAGATTAAATCCAATGGTTTAAAAGTTAACGACGTTTATTTAAAAAAATACTTTTTGGTTTTTGTGAATTTTCCTCAATATTTCTATTTTTTTGTATGAAAAGGCAAAAAGTTTGTTCTAGAAATGAATTCGCCATCCTTTAATTATCCGAAAATGACACCACACTTGCCCTAATACCTATAGTTTTGAAGATATGGGCCTTAAAGTGAAGCGCGGCAGAAGAAAACTTGCCCCCCCTCCCCCTGCTACCACAGGGGGGGCTCCCGATGTCTACCGACGGAAATCAACTCAGGAGCACCCAAAGAACAACTGGTGCAAAAATGAGCCTTCTATACCAAAGTGGAGGGGTTCTTGCACTAAATTCCCTACTAAATGATTTCCATATTGCCCGGTTGTTAGCCCGCATCCAGCGCCTTCCTGCTACCTTTATGAGGTCGTCATGACCTTGCGGGTGGACGTCACACGCTGCGTTTTCCAGTACGTGGCCTCCACTTCAGAACCTTGGTGCCCCATCGGCCTTCAGTTCTGCGTACTATGTGCCCTGTCCTTTGCCAGAAATTATGGATTTATAGATACCTACTTTCATCTCCCTCTTTTAGAGCGCTTTCACATTAGGGCGTTAGAAGCGCGGCAGCGGCGTTTTTATAATGTGAAGGCATGCATCCGCTGTCACATAGTAAGGCATTTCGGCAGCGCGTCTGTCGCGCGTTTGTCGCGCTGCTAAATCGCCTAAATGTAAAAGCGCTCTAGTTTTGCTTTTATGACAAAATAGCCTATGCCTGCTGCTGTATTTCCTGAACACTATAATCCGGGCGTTTTCAAGGCGAGAGTGAATAGGCACTTACAGGGCAGATATGTACCATCCTAGACTGCATCTCACTTAACACCAGGTGCGATTGCGGTCAAATACCTGCCTTGTCTAGCATAAAAAAAATGTTTTTTTTATACATAACAATGCAGGTATTTGACCGCAATCGCGCATTGTCCTTCTCCAAAGGCTAATCTATCTCGACACCAAAATTCATCAAGATAGCCTCATAAATTCTTAAAAAGTTAACAGACAGATAGAGTCACTTTCGCATACATAATTTTTATACATAGCGGCCTATCCCAAACCCGCTGTGCGTGCCACCGCGCCCGTTAATTGAAGATGTCGCTTGTGCAAGCGCTGCCACGCCTTGCGTTTGCGCATGATGTTTATAAGGACCTAGGTGTTTCCTGGAAAGATCACCTAGGTCCTAGGAATAGGTTTGTAAACAGAGTTAATACTAGGTCAACTTGCAATGTAGAAAGATACATGTTTTTGGGTCCCCTAGGTCCTCAATTAGGTTTGCACGTGATGTTTATAAGTCCTGGGTGTTACCTTGAAGGATCCAAGCTTTTTGGGTCACCTAGGTCCTAGGGTTAAGTTTAAGACGGTGTACTAGGTGTACTAGTACCCTTTGCAATGGCTAGAAATATAAATGCTTTTTAAAACATCTATCAATTCTGGACTCCTGAAAATTATATTCATCATCATTATGTCATTGAAACCCTCTAATGAAGGATTTGACCTACATTCCCCACGAGTCCAAATAGGCTGAAGAAGCATGAGGTTCGCACATTTTCATAAAATTTTCCGTCCTGCAAACGGACGGCTAAAGTCCTGTTTAAAACTTTTTCTTTGAGGAAGAAAGAAGGATTTTTTAAAGCATCCGTAAATCAAATTCTAGAGCCCTATAGCTCTATGGCTGGTTTTAGTGTCACGCGGACTGTCAGTGCGGATCGTTCCGCACAGCCGATCTGTATGAACTGCTAGGGAGCGGAGCGGTTCCTCCGGACTGCATTACTCTAAAACGCTCCCTAGAAGTTCATACAGATTGGCCGTGCGGAGCTGGTCCGCACCGGACGGTCCGCGTGACACTAAAACCAGCCTATAGGCTGACTGAGGTGACTGAGTTTCTTCCGTCACTTCCTCTCAGCCCCACTTAACTATATTTGGGTCCCTGGAAAACTGGTGAACCTGGAAAGGGCCCAAGTACTGGATAAATATTTCTGATTTTAGAACTAACTCTACCATTAAACAGCTGTATCCAGGGTTCAAACCTTCTTACAAAGTGATATCTTGTTCCAGGCTTGCGTGCCTCCAATCCAGTTGGAGCCGGTGGACCTCAGCCTGAAGAGGAGGTCGCCCACACCCCGTCGAAGGACCAGATTTGTCGGCAAGTATTAAAATACTTTATTAGTATGTAAAGCCTGGTCCGTGAGCACGTAAAATTTTGTAAACTGACCCCAAGCTAACCATCCTTATCACTCGCACATAATTATATTGCTGTCGCGACTGTGCGACGGGCGCCCGCAGTGTGTGTGCGAGCGCGACAGCAACATAATTACGCGAGAGCGATAAGGATGGGTAGCTTGGGGTCATTGGACAAAATTCTACGTACTCACGGACCAGGCTTTAGGCAAGTAAAGAGTTCCCAGGCACAGTCTTCACCAAGGCGAGGAGCTGCAAAGCTATTGCTATCTATGAAACACCGCACCACTCCGCTCTTCTTTTCTCTTTGTTTTTACCCGACTGCGCCAGAAGGAGGGTTATGTTTTTATGTTTTTAGTGACATTTTATCGTGAGAAGCTAATAGACATTTTCGTATTTTGTAATATTAGTATGGTTTTTCTATGGTCCACTAGATGTTTTAAGACACTTCTTTTTTATCCACAACGAGGAAGCTCTTGGCCTGTAGGCTGTATCTCGCCTGATGGAAAGCGATGATCAGGCCGAAGGTGGAAGTAAGCTTCACCCGGAATCCTCAACCACAGATAATACTTTTAATACTTTATTAGAGTAGTAAACAGTAAACGAAAGGGTAGTTAATTAATGTGGAAAAAGAAAAAACTATAATGCACTACAATTTCAGTTACAAGAATCATCATTTCAGCCAAATGACGTCCACTGCTGGACAAAGGCCTTCCCCAAGGGTTTCCACAACGACCGGTCGTGCACTTCCCGCATCCAGGCCCCTCCCGCGACCCTCACCAGACCCGGTCGGAGGTAAAACCTTGAAAAATTAACAATGGTGACTATGTTTCTTGCGTTGTTTCTTCTCAGCACTGGCCCATTTATTGTCCCGAAACGGTTTAGTCTCAGAATGTCCAATTTGCAAAATGTCAAGTGGTAGCAAAATGTCAGTCTCAAAATGTCCAAGTCGCAAAACATCCAAGTCGCAAAACGTCCAAGTCGCAAAACATCCAAGTCTCAAAATGTCCAAGTCTCAAAAGTTCAAAGTTTCTTAAGAAATTATGAAATGAAACTTTAAACTTTTAATATGTCCAAGACTATTAAAATGTCCAAGACATTTCGCAACTTGGATATTTTGAGACTTGGACATTTTGCGACTTGTAGCAAAATGTCTAAGTCGCAAAATGTTCCTCTTGACATTTTGCAAATTGGACATTCTGAGACTAAAGGCCCGAAACAGTGGTAGAAAAAGATACTAAGTTTGTATTCTGTAGAGTGTCTTATAGAAGGTACATAGTAAAGTGATTCGACACTAGGTTAATGGAAGGTATAAAGAACATCGCAGTCGTTAGAAAGGGAGCACACGTTCAAATCGATGCGCAAACGCAATCGCTGAGGTCGAATTAAAAAGGCGTTGGCGGTAGTGATGTACGATCGATATATCGATTCTTCTTTATTGTAAAATAATCAATTATGTAAACCCTGGTCTTCCTAATATAAATAAATAATGCTTCCAGTTCAAATTCAGATTTTAAATGGGTTTATTTTCGTTAAGAATAAATGTCCGTGCTTTTAAGCGATTTTGTGAGAAATATTTTATTGGCTACCTGCCTAATACTCGTAGCTCATAAGATAGGTCCCCTTAATTGATGTTTATTGTCCGTGGTGCATTGTTTTCATAAAAGTTACTAAACCTTTGTTTGTCACCTGTCATCCGCTTTGCAATGGAGGGAAGTCGAACCTTAACTTCAAACTCCTCCTATGTTCTTCTGATCAATTTCGTTGCGGGTCCAATGATAGTTCAACATTCCCTATGGTAAAACTTGCCATTCACCAGTTGGGTTTTTATTGGCGGTCAAACTGTAGATCCTGGCTACACAGGAGTTGCAGTGGTCCCACCACGAGAGTTGGGAAAAGTCCCATAATATGTGGGTCTCACCTGACAATACAAACCTTTTAGTCGAAAATCTTGCAAATTAATGTATGTATATCTTGATCTCTTAGCACTGGACCATGAAGGCGTTAAATCGCTCCCTCTCACAGCACCTGAGGCGTAGTTATCGACAACGGCTATGTAAATCAATCGATTATCGATTGTCTGCCCCTCCATCACTATCGCTGGAAACGTGACGGACCGAGGTCGTCAAGGCAACGCGGATGTTATCCCGGATCTGTACTAATTGTGCGTTTAATAACATGTTTTATTTATATTTATATTTATATTCAACACCCTGTCCCTGGGGTACTCATCTGTTGTGAAACTAGCCTTTGACCGCAGGTTTAGCTGGACCGGCAGAGTTCTTAATGCGAAAAAATATCGTCTATGTTCATAACAGCTATTGTAAAATTGTAATGGTGTAAGATTTTTTTTTCAAATCTGTCCAGTAGTTCGGAGCCTATTCAATTTAAACAATCAAATCTTTTATCTTTATAATATAAGTGTAGATAAATAGAAATTGAACGTTTGTTTGTCCTCCTGTAGTGGAGAGAGACTAAATAACCAGCCGGTCTATGATGCGCGTCACGATATGACCTTCTCGTCGATTTCAGTCGACAAAATGTATGGGCTTATCGTGTAAAATCCATAAAAAACCTTCATAAAAGTTTATCGTGGCGCGCATTCCAGACCTATTTGGTGTAAACGTTCTGGTGAAGGTCGCGGGAAGTACCTGGATGCGGGAGATCCAATAATCCTTGGGAGAGGCCTTTGTCCAGCAGTGGACTTCTGCTGATCCTACTGACTTATGGAGATCCTAGAGCTACAGTAATGAAATGAAAGTATCCATTTCAGGTTCGTTTAATCCACAAATTAACCAAAACGTCAGTATCCAAGACATTAATCTTAACCGACAATTATGTAGTTAGCTAGCTCCAGATAAGCTAAGCGCTTCTAAGGGCCACCGCAAACTTGCTACTTTCAGCATCTGCCATCGGCGATTTTGCGACTATCGATACAGCATCGCGATTTCGCGTGCGTTCAGAAATGAGGAAATCCGTAAACGAACTAAAGTCGCTGACATAGCCCGACGGATTAGCAAGCTGAAGTGGCAATGGGCAGGGCACATAGTACGCAGAACTGACGGCCGATGGGGCAGCAAGGTTCTGGAGTGGAGGCCGCGTACCGGAAAACGCAGCGTGGGACGTCCACCCACAAGGTGGACCGGCGACATCATAAAGGTAGCAGGAAAGCGCTGGACGCAGGCCGCTACCAATCGATCAACGTGGAAAGCATTAGGGGAGGCCTATGTTCAGCAGTGAACGTCCGATGACTGAGATGATGATGATGAATGGTCGCTGAATTCAGCTCTTAAAAGCGGCAAAATCGCCGATGGCCGTTGCTAAAAGTATCTCGTGTGTAGTGACCCTAAATCGGCGACATGAGCGGCCTACTTTACTGTGGGAACAGCATTGCGTGAATGGTGCACTATCGCGGCCATCTTGCTGGACAAGCTTGCACTCTTGTGTAGTTGAGATAGACGTGGTTTTGCAATAAAATGCTGTAGCTTCATTTGCTGATTGTACATTTGGTATAGATTTGAGAAAATATTGTAAAGAGTGAAAAACGCGGTCAAGTGCGAGGGAATCCCGTATGATTCCACATCTTTTTCGATCTGAAATAAATATCGCACGTATTCACAATGCTTACTTAAATGAAGCAGCAAATTGAACGCACATTGTTGAATAGAGCTCAGTGCGTCCACGCGCACTGTGAGACCACATAGTAATGTTTGTGTGATGGTCTCGGGCCCCCCTGAAAATAACCTAGATACGCTCAGAGCCCTATACACAGAATTTTCAACGGAGCGCGAATGGAAAAGGTTTTTTGAGCAGACGGGGCCCCCCTAGATCGCGGGGCCCTGGCCACGTAACCAGTGGAAAAGATGGGCCTTTTCACCGTTGGGCTATCGTGGCTTCAAGCTTGATATGCCCTCTGTGTGTAATTAATTTACGGTACATTGTAAGACTTGGCGTGTTACTCGCACCTATTTTACAGCGATTTGAATCTAAGTATATCTACAAAAAACCAAAAGGTCACTTATTGACCAACTCACTCATCACGAAATCTCAGAAACTACAAGTGCTAGGAGTCTCAAATTTTGCATGGGGGTTCCTTTTAGAACGTAGGTGCTCACTAAGAACGGATTTCATGAAACTCCACACATAAGGGAGTAAAACGGGATCCACGCGTGCGAAGTTGCAGGCGGCCACTAGTGACTAATAATCCCGTTAACCCCTCGTGGTAATCTCAATATGCTTGTGATACGAGTTGGCTTACCACAATAGTCAGGCATTGGGGATCGCACCCGCGTTCCTCGGACCGCGAGTCGGCTAGTCTGACCCTTTCATAGGCTATCGTGTCTTCAAGCTTACGGGACTATTCCCACCTCTCGTTCCCATGCAAATCCTGTGTAGCCAGGATCTACAGCTTGACCGCCAATAACCCAATCAGTGAAACAACCGGGAAAGTTAAACTGTCATTGGAAATTAATCAGAAGAACATAGGCGTTAAGCTTGATATACCGTCTGTCTGTATGTAATTAATTCACCTTACATTGTAACAGTTGGCGTGTTACTTGCACCTATTTTACAGTGATTTGAATAAACCGAAGGCTGGCAGTCTTCAGGTCATGCTAAGTAAAAACTCGATTGTTAACAGTATTATAGAGGTAATTGTGATATCTATCGCTTTGGAATAAGAGTGATGGGTTTGGAGTGTTAGGATATAGGGTGACCGTGTTAGGTAACTGTAAAAAAACTAGTATTTATACCATAAAAGCTGATTTTTATAAATAATATTTGGGCAATAATTAGAAGTAGTTTCCTCATCAGCCAGACAGTTTTGAAAGTTTCAACTCCTTGCCAGACACTTTTTAGGGTAGCTGCCAAAGCCACGATGACCCAAACTTCATGATGCACCAACATTCTAACCTATGTTGGGAGCACACGCTGACAAACTTTCAGCGCTTTATAAAATGACGTAGG